AGTAGTAGTAGTAGTAGTAGTAGTAGTAGTAGTAGTAGTAGTAGTAGCAGTAGCAGCAGCAGCAGTAGTAGTAGTAATGATGATGATGATGACTATGAGAATGATAATGATAATAAATAGTGAACTGTTCAACTGAATTACATTTAAAATAAGAATAAGTAAACTGATGAATTCTCATATGAATAAAGAGTGTAAGCTCAGGGCATGTAATTTGTGAAATATATGTTGACAGTTCACAGGTTTGTGACAAAGTCCCTCTTGATTTCTTTGTGGGCAAGTCATTCAGCCTGTAAGTTAAATAGCATTTATTAATGGTTTACTATGGGCCAGGCAGTGTGCTAAGCACTAGGGATACAAAGAAAAGCAAAAACACACATTCTAAAGATGAGATTAAGAAATATGAACTGAAGCATAGTATTGTTAGAGTCATAGTTGAAAACTCTACTTCAAAGACTAATAAATAGATGTCAGCCAAGGTCTCTAGGGGCATGCCAAAGGGCTCTGTCCTCACTTTTGTTTATTTTTATCTATGACTTGAAGGAAGACCCAGAAGACCTGCTTATTAAATCTGCAGATGACACCAAGAGGTTGGAGGCATAGTAATACAATAGATTAGATTTAGGATTAAAAAAATGGCAACAGGCAAAAATGATAGATATATCACCCTGTCCCTCCTCAACCTCACAAGATACGTTCCTGTCCTATGGAATTTCTCTAGGAAGTCTCCTCACCCTGGAAGTTCGCTCCACTCATGGGCTTCTCATACTGAAATTACACTCTGTCCCTATGTGCCCTTCCTCTTACTGGTTGGTCCCTCATAGAACTACCATTTTAAGAAAAACACCCAGGCTGACCAGGTCTTCGTTCACTTCTAGGCTCCTGATTCTCTGGATTTTCTCTCCCATGCCACAGAAGGCTCTTAGCCATCACCCCTGCCAACCCCCACCCCCGTCACTTTTCATTTCCCTTTCATGTGTTTTCTTCCCCTGTTAGGGTATAAGTTCCCTAAGCGCTGACTCAGTCTTTCCACTTCCATTTTTATTCCCAGCACTTAGCACAGTGTCTGGCACATAGTAATAAGCTCTTCAGAAATGCTTGTTGACTTAACATTTATTTGTCCCTGATAAATTTCAAAATCCTATGTCTAGATTCAAAATATGAACATTACTAACATGTGATAGGATAGGGTTCTGAACATAAGACATAGTTATAGTTGTTTGTGAATCAAAAAAAAAAAAGGTAAATCTAACCTGTAACTTCATAACAGAAGTGCAGGGTTCAGATCACAGGAGATAGGATTTGGATGACTACTTGTCAGGGTTACACTAGATCACCTTTAGGTGGCTAGGGGGCACCAGAGTGCACAGAGCACTGGGTCTAGACAGTCAGAAAGACATGAGTTCAAATCCAGCCTCAGACACTTAGTAGCTACATGATCGTGGACAAGTCACTTTTAATCTCTTTTAGCTTCAGTTTCTATAAAATGAGGTTTGTTGGAGTCAGTGGCCTCTAAGGTCCCTTCCAGCTCTAAATCTATGCCCTATGATTCTAAGGAACATTCCAATTCTGAGATTCTATGATGTGGTGGCATTAGTCCTACTAAGATTCTGCACTGGACAGACTATATTTGGAATACTGAATTCATCTCTTGGTGGCACATTTTAAAGGCATTGGTAAAATTTAAGGGGGTGACTTGGATAATAGCAAGTGTAGTACATGATATGGGACGTAGGTGATACTGTGGATGTTCACCCTCAAAGAGAGAAGACTTGGTAAAGATATTGTAGCAGTCTTAAATACCTGAAGAGCTCTCATCTGGAAGGTAGATTGGATTTATTTGGCTTGGTCCTAAAAGAGACTGCAACAAAGAGCTTTCTACCAGTCAGAGCAATGGAATCCAACAATGGAATGGGGTTGCTTTGTAAGATGTGAGCTCTTTGCCACTGGAAACATAGAAGCAAAGTCTCCTTGCATGATCATCTTTAAGGGATATCATGGATGGTATTGTTGCATTAGGTGAGATGTCAGTAGCTGACATTTATATGGTACCCAACTTACATTATCTCATTTGGTCCTCATAACAGTAAAGCACTACAGGCCTTAATTAACCCCATTTTACAAATGAAGGTGGGAAGCAGCATGGTACAGTTCTTTCATCTGTAAAATGAAATTGTCTGACTAGCTGGCTTCCTTTCAGATCTGTAGCTATGATCCTGCCATAATCAAAGGAAGCAAGCATCTCTTTCCTTAATATCTAGGATTTTAAAAAACAAGTTATTCTTTCAGCTTCCTACTTTACTTGTACTGAAACCACCTACCATGTGTCAAAGGGTGCTTGTCCTTTCCTAGGAAGATGGTGAAGTGAATGAGGCATTCCATCTGGAGCCAGGAAGACCTGCCTCAGGTACTTACAAGTTGTGTGACTCTGGGCAAGTCATGTAACCTCTCTTGGCCTCACTTTCCTCATCTGTAAAATGGTGATAATAAGAGTACCTATTTCCCAGGATTGTGAGGATAAAATGAGATATTTATAAAGCACTTTGTACACCTTAAAGCACTATATAGATTCTAACTACAGTTATCATTATTATTTTCTTACCCAAACACTTTGAAAGATGCAGTAGTTTCAGAAATATCAAATGCAATAAAACCAAGAAAATATAAATCCTGAATTTTCATCTCTTGATGCCAAGAATTATTTAGGTTTGGTATGATACTATGAAGTTTTTCAGTTTCTGTGATAGAAGAGCTATGAAAGCCACCCCAACTGCTCCCCAAATGGAAAGTCATTCATGAGCCATTAATAAACTAAGCAGTGGAAAATAATATATACTGTCCCTAAGAGCTAGCCCCTTTAAAGTCTTCCTTTCCCAAAGCTATGGAGCATTTATTCCACAGCTCACAGCTATACTTACCTCAATCTCGCAATGACTGAGGGTGACAGTAAGTCATCCCAAAGAGAATGGCAAAAACATAAAGTAATAAATTATCGATCATACCCCATTATTCTTTGCCTACATCATTGAAAATACTGGCTTTCCTCCCAGTCCCACCATACAACTTGCTTCGACTACTTAGTCACCTACGAGTTCTCATTTATGTTATTCTCCTAAATTAAATGTATTTAATCAACTCTGAGAGTGTTTATGTTGACATTATTAAAAGATAAGGGAGTATCTTCTGAAATAATTGTTTTTCTTAATTAAAAAACAAACAAGTGGTCATTAGAGAGGGAGTCACCTTCTTCTGTGGGTTCAACCTCTTTAGGGCCCACCTGGCTCCATGTATTTTTTCCTATGATGTTATAGGCTGCATATATAATTGTGGGGGTTCCTCATTAGGGAAGGGAACATGCACTTACTAAGTGACTACTATGAGCCAGGCATTTTGCTAAGTGTTTTACAAAAATTATTTCATTTGATACCTACCCTGTAAGGTAGGTGCCACTATTAAACCCATTTTACAGAAGAAGAAACTGAGATAGACAGAGGCTAAGTGACTTGCCCAGGGTCACACAGTATAATTCTCTGAGTTAAAATTTGCACTCGGGTCTTCCTGACTCCAGGAAGTGTTCTATCCATTGTGCCATCCAGCTGCCTTCTTAAAGACTTATTAAATCAACTATATAATAGAACCTAGACACTTTGATTCTGTGTTCTTTTACCATTCCCCAAATGGAGAAAAGTTAATATTTCTATTTCTAGATAGCAGAATACTAATTTACATTTATTTCAGAAACTATCATTAATAGTACAAAGGAACCCCCCCCCTCAAAACCCACTTTTCTCTGAGCAGAAACATTACTTCTCATTTTCTTCAAAAACTTAGAGAATGACAATTTTGAAAGAACTTATTACATGTCAGGAGTAATGAAATCTTAAAAATGAAGTTATAATAAGATTTATACTATATAATAAATGCCATGAAAATTATCCTTATTTTACCTGTGTATATGTAAGTTGGTTGTGGTAATATCTGATAAGACATTATCCTTTTTTTAAGTTTTCTGGTATTTTTAAGCATAGATAGTTTCTATTTATAAAGATTGATTTCTCTTAAATCAATAACAGTCAAACACTACTCACATAATCCCTCTCTTATCCCAGTGATACCATATTTATAAGTTTTCAAGTTCCAGGAAATAGAGGCACATCACAACCAATATGAATCCCCAAAGCCTTCATCTTGGAGGCATTTAATGGGTTGCAGCAGCTGGCAATCATCCCTTCTCTATATTTTAGTTATTACATATTGTTTTTTAAGCCCTAGCTTGGATGATGGTTTCTTTGCTTAGGGAAAACAGCTTTCTTACTCCTTCTCCTTGACAAATACACCCTAATTTCTGCTTTTGTCCCAGAGATGAGAGTAAGTGTGTCTGAGAGCACTGATTCAATCATTTCTAGAAGCAAGACCCTTCATCAATCACTCTCCAGCTCAGAGCATTTAGATCAGTTTCTCATTTCTCAGGAATGCAGCATCCTCAGTCCCCAGCCACAATCAATTATATAGATTTTAAATGTTTAATTCAGAATAAAGAAAAAAAATGCTGGGGTGAGGGAAATGAAGTAGGGAGTTGGTATTTACCTTTTAGCCGATGACTTAGAATCTGTTCCAAAATAGCAGCAAAATTGTTAAATTCTGGTGATGAGTCGTCAATCGTCTCGAAACAGGATCGGTCAATCAGGGTCTTGACAGAAAACCTAGGATGAAACAATAGCATTACTTATGCTTTTGTTGTTTCATCAACACTTCAAGTTAGAGCATTTATTAAGCACCTATTGTGTGTCATGTATTGTAAAAAGTGCTGGAAAAAAGGAAAAAGAGAGGGGAAAAAACTCTGGGGCAGAAGAAGTTAGAAGGGTAATGGGATCTAAATATTCTACTTAGATGTTTGGAGAAGTTGGAAACTGTGTGAAAATATAAAACACAAATTTGGAGTTGGGAGAAGCCTTAGTTCAAAATCACCCTCCCTGCATGTATTAGCCACATGAACAAGTCATAACCTCTTTGAGCTTTTTGTTGTTATTCAGTCATTTCAGTTATGTCTGACTCACTGTGACCCCATTTGGGTCTTGGCAAAGATACTGGAGGAGTTTACCATTTCCTTCCCCAGATCATTTGACAGATGAGGAACTGAAACAAACAGGGTTAAATGACTTGCCCAGGGTCACACAGCTAGTAAGTGTCTGAGGTCAGATTTGAACTCATGCAGACGAATCTTCCTGATTCCAAGCCCAGGGCTCTATCCACTTTGTCCCCTCCCTACCCTTCTGAGTTTTAGCATCTTTATTTGTGAAAAGGGGATAATGATGCCTGTAAAAACCTAGCTGACTGGAGAGGTGGTAAGGATCAGACGACAGAGTATATGTAAAGCACTTACAATCCTTAAAGCACTCTACACGGACATCAACTGTCACTGTTATTATAAAGGGATACTCGTCCTAAAGAACTGAAGCAGCTCCATAAATTTACTCTCCAAACAGAAAATGCTCCCTCCAAGTTATTTATTTTATCATTTTGTCAGGTTCTTAATTTGTTCTGTGCACTTAATGGCAAGGATTTCAATCACTTATCTATTCAAGGCATAGACTGAGTGAATTAATCAGTTCCACAAAAAAAAGCCCTCTGGCCCCACTCCTGGTACAATTTTTGATTAATACAATCAAGGGCTACTGACTTAGACCTCAAAAGTCAAGACATTCATATCAGAATTCTGAGTTTTATCTCCACATATTTTGACATTTGTTTGGAGTATAAAATAAGATAATTGGGTGTGAGCATCTAGGCAGCTCTGTACAAAGGTTTTTATGAGCTACAGGTAAATGGAAATTATGCTTCTTTCTCTACTGCTTTATATTCTTACAAGTTATATTTTCAAACAAAGGTTAAAAGCCTTTAAACTGGGCTAATCTCATTACAAACATTGGTTGAACAGCCTCTACCAACCAGGAGTCTAGAATGAGAGTGAGGCTTCATTCTCATTCTGGGTTGAACTTCTTATGAAATCATAAGGTTAGTTAAAAATAACAAAATTTGCCATTTATAAAAATAACCATCTTTTAAAAGACAGGAAAGCTATATGGTTGGTTCAAAGACTGATTTTTTTTAACCTGTGTGGCAGAATACCATTATTCTTGAGTTCAAAATAGGGACTTCAGTAAAATTCCAATTACATTTAGTTATATAGTTGATAAAAGTGACTTTTTAACCATTTGGCATTTCTGATTCAAGATTTGTTATCTTGATTTATTTTTCTCCTTAGAGTGAATTCCCTACTGAGTCATGGTTATATATCAAAACTTTGCAAGAAAATTGTGAAATTAAATCCCTTAATGGAAAAAAGAAAAACCAACTGAACCAACGTAGAAAGTAAGCTTTGAGTGGCCCTGCTCTTCCAGACCAGTAAATAGTTCCCACAATGAATGAGATGAGGCTGCCTCATCTTCATTCTGGCAGATATATATTTGGTCAATGTCACGAGCTATCATTTTTACTATGACATTGGTCCATTTGGTGCCCAAAGTATAAAATGTGAGTATATCATAGATTCTCTCCTGAGCACTAATTCCTAGGGAAGACAAACACTTCAAAACATTGGGTTACCGTCTTTAAGGCTATTTCCTCTGGAATGGCATGCAAAATGTAGAATCTAAGGTGAGATGGCCTCAAGGGTATTGAATGAGACATCTCCAGTCCTACTGTATGCTTTAGTAGCCTTGGACACCGTAAGTTTGAAGGTGGGTTGTTATAAGCACTGGGGAAATTAAAAAACAATACAAATCCATAATAGGGCCATCGGAAATTGATAAGCTAATGGCAAATGGACAAATGAACCATAGCTCATCACCCTGGAACCATAGCTAATTACAAACACATTAAAGCCTCAATGTGCTTCCATATGGTAGTGGTAGATGCTCAAGAGATAAATAATTTGCTTGATCTAACAAATCACAGAAGAGATCTAAATGGGGAGTGAAGGTGGTAAGGTATAAGGAATAAAAAAAAAGTCAGGATCAGGACAATGTGTTAACGAATCAGGATCTGAATAAACCTGCTACTCTCTTCTACTTCTTGCCTTTTCCCTCAGGATACAAACTATTCCTATTTAAAGAAAGATATTAATCGAGATATTAAATTTCTGTGGCATCAGGCCTCTCAAATCCCTGTCCAACACACTACAACAGTGCTGTCACTAGTTACAAGCTAGATGGTTCAGAAATTACCTGGTTACATATAATTACTTCGAAAATCACTTAGATTTTTCAATTGTGTTTACAGCTGTCAGCTCACGGGAAATGAGCTCCATTTACAGATGTGAAATCCCTCCATCCATTTATCAGTTTGATTCTCAGAATCAGTTGTAAGATTTTGAAAGGCATTAATATTGCATTCTCATAGAAACAGAGCAGCTATTTAGAGGCTTAAGCGTGTAAAAATTCTACTACAGTGTGGCATACATTTTGAACCTGGTAGCATACATTTCTTTTTTTTTAATTTTTTATTAATTTATTTTGATTTATCAACAATCCCTTCCATATGCTTTTGAGCTTAAAATTTTTCTCCCCCTTCCTCCCCACCACCCTCCCCAAGATGGTGCACAATCTGATATAGGCTATACATATACATTCCTATTAAACATATTTTCACATTAGTGATGTTGTAAGTAAGAATTAGAACCAATAGGAAGAACCACCAGAAAGAGGAAACAAAACTCAACAGAAGAGAAAAAAATAGCAATTAGTATACTTTGATCTGCGTTCAAATTCCATAGTTCTTTCTTTGGATGTGGATAGCATTTTCTATCATGAGTACTTTGGAGATGTCTTAGATCCTTGTATTACTGGGAAGAGTTAAATTTATCAATATTAGTCATCACACAACATGGCTGTTATTGAGTACAACGTTCTCTTGATTCTGCTCACTTCACTCAGCATCAGACCATACAAGTCTTTCCAGGCTTTTCTGAAGTCAACCTGTTCATCATTTCTTACAGCACAATAGTATTCCATTATATTTATATACCACAACTCATGATGGCATACATTTCTAAACAATATATTTACTGGGGGTGGAGTGGGGGCAGATTTATATATACAAAAATTTTGAAATGCATCATTTCTTTAGCCATCTGGATTACCTAAAGTGCTTAGCACAGCACCTGGCACATAGTAGGTGCTATATAATTGGTAGCTAGTATTATTATCAAACTACAGGTGAGTAAAGAGTTAAATAGATTCAGGGAAAAGTAAAAGAAGGTGGTGCCTAAGGGAATCTCAGGACACCAGCTTAGCAGAACCAATTCTGTACTGCCCATCAGGGGATTCTCTATGAGGCTTTGCCAGGAGCTCCTTGCTGCTTCTGGAAGATAGACAGAGCAGAGACAGGGTCCAGCTTGCATCTCCCAACTACGTCACCTCAGGTACCAAGAAGCAGCAGGAAACTAAGACAGTGCCAGAGACTTATCTGGGTTTTGAGAGACATTCAATCCTTGGAAGTGTAACAACTAACTCCATGGGTACTACCTAGTGAGAAGATTCTTTTTCTAAACTAATATATTTTCAGTTATCTGGCATTTATTTTTCTCCCTTTCTCCTTCCCTGAAAAAAAGAAAAAGAAAAAGAAAACCCTTGTAACAAAAAAATTCCCCAAATGGCCATGTCCAAAACTCACTCTCATTCTGCATATTTCATTGCCTCTTTATTAGGAGGGTAGCATTATTGGTTACCAGTCCCCCTGACAATCAGTGATGGTTGATCATTGCTTTGATCAGAGTTCTCAAGTCTTTCAACCTTGTTTGTTAACAAGGTTGTTATCATATAAATTGTTTTCCTGGTTCTTAGCCAGCTTAGATTTAATAGGCCCTCTAAATCAGGGGTTCTTAACCTTTTTTGGTGTCATGGACTGATCCCCTGGCCAGTCTGGTGAAGTTTATGGGCCCCTTCTCATAATACCGTTTTCAAATATATAAAATAAAATACATAAAATTACAAAGGAAACCACTTCCATAAAAATACAATAGCCAAAAAAATTTTTTTTGAAAGTTCAAGTTCACAGACCACAGGTTAAGAATTCCTGATCTAAATAAAATGTATGAGAGTGAACACGAATGTTTACATAATTCAAAAGTGCTTGGTGACTGAAAAAAAATCATTAATGGTTTGATGTCAATTTGGGAGGAGATTTTTACTATGGGAGTGACCCAGGCATCTCTGTGGGTATCTTGGGTTGGGTTTAGAAGGGGCATTCAGTGATGAGGCAGAAAGTATCCAGAGCAAGGCAACCAGAACAGTCAAGGGCCTCAAATTTATGCCATAAGAAGGTCAGTTGAACTGGGGATATTTGACCTAAAATCAAGAAGATTCAGCAGGGACAGGAGGGCTGTCTTCAAGTATCCAATAGGCTGCCAAGTGGAAGAGGGACAGTATTTGTTCTGTTTAGCCTCAGAGGGAAGAGCCAGGGACAATGGGTGGAAGTTGGAAGAGAGGCAAACTCGGGCTGGATGTCAAAGAAAACTTCCTACCCGAGCTCTCCCAGTGTGGAATGTGCTGCTTGAGAAGTGGCAGGCTACTCTTTGCTGGAGATCTCCAAACAGAGGTTAGATGACCACTTCTCAGGTATGTCATCGGGGAGGTGTGTGTCAGGCTGCATGCATACAGAGGTCACTTTAATTCCACTATTTGGTAATATTAAAATTCAGTTG